GTGCGGTAAGGCGATTCACCAGGGGGATGTCTGGTCGTGCTACGATGGATTAAAAAGATCGGGATAAAATTCAAGATGGCATAATGACGGGATTAGCTGCCCATCTGAACGCAGTTTAAGACCTGTTTAACAGGAGATCTCAGGGACTGAACCCAGAACCTTCTACACATAAAGACTCTGAGCTGTGGCTTTTCTGCCCTGGCCCCCCACCTGGTGGAAGATGCTCCCCACCGAGATCAGGACCCTGTGGGATCTTATTTAGTTCTGCAGGGCCTGTAAGACGAAGCTGTTCTGCCAGGCTTTCGGCTGAGGTAGAGGGCGTCCACACACGGCTAACCACTGATCTAAAATGTTTATCTTGTGTTTTTAAACTTTATTGTAACTGTTGAAATATGAGATGACCCGACCCCTCCGTTTGCGGGATGGGCGGGATACAAATACGAAAAAATAAATAGTTTATGAGTCACGGCATAAAATGCTGCTAACCGCATTGCTATTTGGGGGCAAGGCCCGGGAGAGGAAAAAGCACCCCTGATGTGTTGACTTCACTTCTGGAGATTCCAAAAGTAATGTCACAACACTCTAGGAATCCCCCCCCCAAACTCTATGGTAAATACCATTGAGATCAAGTCCGTTCCTAGAGTGTCTATGGGAGGGGGGTAGAGTTACCAACTCTGAGTTGGGAGATTCCTGGAGATTTATTTATTTAGAATATTTCTGTGCTGCCTCTTCAGAGTCCTGCTCAAGGTGGGTTACAATTAAACTTAGGAGGCGCGAGATCGGAGGATGGGGTGGGCGGAGTTTGGGGAGGGAGTTCAGCTGTCATGTGATGCCACAGAATCCTCCCTCCAGAGGTGCCATTTTTCTCCAGGGGAACCAGTCTCTGTATGGAAATCTTATCATTTCGAGAACCCCTCTCTGCTGCTTACAGTCTCAGGGGCAGGTAATGGAGGGCACGGGCAGGAATTCCCTGCCCTCATCGGGCACCTGGCAACCCTAGGCAGATAACGACAGGAATCCTATACAAGGACACAGACATTCGGCCTCGTAGCACCCTCCAATGCAAACAGGAGACATATGCTCTCTATCTGATGTCGTCCAAACATCAGAGCAGGAGACCTTGGAATTTACCTTTAAAAAGTGGGCAGATTTTCCATACAGTGGCAGCACCTTCTCTGTTATACTGGCCCAGAGCTAGTTCCATATAGAACAAAGGCATCCCAGCGATGATGAGG